GGTGCTAGTAATGCACATTCGTTCACTGTAGCAACCCCTGTTCCACCACTTTGGGTAAAGTTTAACAGCGTCATCGCGGTGGCCGCAGACAGGAAACTGCTCCACAGACGCAGCTCCCCCTCTTTTCCCTCATAGGAGGGTGAGGACACCAGGGATGAAGATGCAGTTCCCCGTCTCCGCCCATCCCATGTCATGGAATGCGTTTTCTTTATAGCTGGTGCTGACCCTTAGACAGTCTGAGGACAACAAAGGTCGCATAACTGCGATGGCGCAAGCCGTGCAAACGAAAGAGGAAGAAACGTACCCTACATATCCCGGAGGTGAAGTGGACGTGGCTGCGTTCGTCACTGAATATGGCGTAAGGTATGTTTTCTGTGGGACATGTCCTGTTGAGACGACATTTGCCCTTAATTTCGCCGGACAAAGGCATGTCTGCAGTATACCACTAAAAAAGGGGGCGGCCGCCACAGTCAAATAAAACGCGCTGCCACGCCCACTTCATCTCTGGGATATGGAGTGTATAAAGACACTCTGTAGGCGATACGCAGCATAATCGGGACGCCCCTTTCGCTCTGAGACGTGGACGATATTGAAAGTCCACTAAGGAAAAGTCGAGTCAGCGAAGCTCAGTAAACCTCATATCCTATCTATATCTTGTCCTTTATTCGAACCCTGATTCAAGCCTTTGCAGACGACAACCTCTGCCGAAGTGGAGTTCCCTGGTCATCAATGCGAATACATGGTCCGCCTAATCAACTACGATCTTATCGGACGAGATGCCTCGGCTGATGTACGAGTTCTCATCGAACCAGTGCTTCCAGCTCACTTTGACATAGTATTTCGTCCCGAATGTCTCCTTGTTGGGGCGTGTATCGTGCTTCTTCCATTCATTTGTATTCTTCTACGTTGCCGATGTCGTCGAAAGTGTCCTCAGAGGGTCTCCGAAAAACAGCAGAAACTCACCCAGTATGCTTAAATGTATTTCTTTATAGAACTAGTGCATGTAATTGTTAAACTAGGTTTAGCGTCTAATACGGGTGTGTTTTCTGTTTTCAAAGTGCCTATAGGTGCCTTGTTTCCGGTGTATGATCTCTATTTCTGTTGTATATAGATAGTTAATGTGTTGTATTTATGCTCAGAAGCGGCAAGGCTGGTTTGATCTCTTGCTTGCTTTTGACACCACGCTTATGTGTCAGCACGCGCGCGTGGAAAATCGATATCGGTCGAGCGCGTACTTATCTTAAAATGCGTCCGTTGAACTGAAGTTCGAAAGCAAGCTAATATCACGAAAAGCTGCAAATTCTTCGGTCCATCAGTAATAATCAGCCCAGAGCATAAATTCTAGTATTTGTACATATTGTTACCTAAATAAATATTGTCACTTTTTCAACGAAGAAAACGAAGTGTCAAACAGAGAAGTTCTTACAAATTTACTCGTTGAGTCTTACCTGTCATCCATGCCTGCAAAACCTAAGGGAGTCCCATTCCACAGTGCCCGGACACCTATGCCATTATGCCGTCTTCACTTGTGCACCCTTTCTCTCCATAATACTGAAGAAGCGCCAACAAGGAAGATTGGTGTCTCCGCCCATACGATTGCAGCGGAATAAGCTTTCAACCTTTGGTCTGCACATGGTCATAACCCTCCGATATGCACATTCCGTGAGGTTTACCCGACCTTCTCACGCTTGAATACCTGCGGTATATATTGGATTCTGAGGTCCATCCGACCCTTTAATGCTTTAGTAAGTACGTTTGAGCCAACCTTATTACCCTCTCAAACGATCTCATGGAAGGATCGCTTGGAAGGGTGATAAGGTTGGCACAACGTACTAAAACGCCAAGTGCCATGTTGCCGATATACTGCATTTATCCCTACCTTGTCCTGTTCCGGTTGCCTTCAATCTGCTGGACCAGTCCAACAACGAACGTCGCCGATGAACTATGTAGTCTCACCAGTCCACCCTTCAGAAAGCATTGCACATTGCCTAATAATAAGGCCTGATTATACTCAGTGATGTGCAGGGAAGTATCGGAATTGGGCCAATCAACGATGAAGCCTCAGTACGAAGTGATTCCGCCGATTATCCACTTGGCTGAGTCAAAAACACCAGCACGCAATA